CATCAAAGCATATATTTTTTTAAAGTAGACAACCCACGGTATTCAAAATGGGGTATGTCCACTCTTTTTTAGTAGTCACTTAGTCACAAACCCTGTGACCCTATTTTTTTTTTAAATTTAAATGTAATGTAAGCGTTAATATTGGGGAAATAACAAAGTGCTACTTGTGCTTATTGCCCTATAACTTGCAAAAAAAGCTAAGAACATGTTAACATTGGGTATTTCTAAACTCAAGATAAAATTTAGAAACTATTTAGCACTGGTGTTTTCTGGCGGTTGTAGTTGCGTAACAGATTTTAGGGGTCAAAGTTAGAAAAAGTGTGTTTTTTTAAATTTATTTCATCATATTTTATATTTTTTATAGTAAATTATATGATATGTTAAAAATAATGGTATCTTTAGAAAGACCATTTAATGGTGAGAAAAACAGTATATAATATGTGCGGGTACAGTAAATGAGTAATAGGCAAATTACAGCTAAACACAAACATCGCAGAAATGTAAAAACAGCCCTGGTTCCAAATGGTAAAATTGAAAAGTGGCCTGGTCACTACCCTAGAGTTAGAGGAAATTTGTGGTAAGGGTTAGGGTTAGGGGTAGGGTTAGAGGAAGGTTGAGGTAAGGGCTAGTGTTAGGGTTAGGGGTAGGTTTAAGGGTAGGGGAAGGGCTAGGGTTAGGGGTAGGGTTAGGGTTAGATTCCTGTTATCATTCCCTTCATTTTCTTTCCCTCTCCTGTTTTGCCACTTTTCAAAAATCCAAAGCACTATCCCTAGGGGTAGGGGTAAGGTTATGGAATTGCCGAAGTGCCGAATTCCCCAAATTGCCGAAGTCCCTGAAATATTTAATGAACTTTGAAATATCTGATGTGTTGTATAAAGTCTTTATTCAAACTTCTTTCAGACACAGGATGTGACTAGTATTACAGACTTTCATTGTATATGGATGGTCACCACGTGTAAAGTAGATTGATCAAGGCCTGTTGATAGTAACCTTTGACCTAGCTTTGCAAGCCTGACTCCCTGTGTATTACCAAGACTCACATTTCTAAAGGCATTCATTCATTTAACCATGTATATAGAACTTCTTTTGTGTAACTTCTATTTTACCTTCTAAATAAAATGTATGGCTTTAATCATAGATTTCAAATTATACTAAGCCACTACCTTTTTTTCTATGATAGCCACTTATTTTAAAGTAAGGCAACCTTATGTATATGCCCCTATATAACTGAATTTTAAACCTATAAAAACGATTGTAGATAGCATTTTTTTTACCAATACTTTAACATCAAAAATGGATTATATCTTGAAGTGCTTACACATTACTCTGTATTGGTCAAATATGTTTGCAAAGACTTTTATGTTATTTTCGGATGGTGTGTATGTTTGAATAAATATAAATTTTTGGCTGCAGGACACTCTGATTCGATTTTTAGAACACTGGTGTGTGACAAACAAATATCTCAAGAAAAGCTAATTTCCTACAGTCCCGAATTTCGGAAGTGCCTAACCAAACCGAATTCCCGAATTGCCGAAGTCCCAAATTTTGGAAGTTTCTGAACTGAACCAAATTTTTGGCCCATGTATGTCCCTAGCAGTTGTTAATTCAAATCCATTATAATTAACAATAATGAATGTAGTATGTATTAATAAAAATAAAAGTAATTTTCACAGATTTGCTGTATAGTTTTTAGATCATGAATTTTACAACCCAATTATTATCACGCATAGTGTATGAATTTATAATATAATACCATCTTGTGAATTGACTGGTAATATATATTAAAGGCAGTAAAAGTGGACTTAAAAAAAAAATCAGATATGGATATTTTTATTGACACCTCAAGTGGTTCCTCTTCTTTATAACATACAATCAATCCAAAAATATAATATTTAAGTTTATACTTTACTTGTACATACAAGACTCTTCCAGATCCATTTACAAGTCAGTTTAATTCAATAATGATTCTATAAAATAGAAATAAATATATATAAATGTATCTATGGCACATGTGCCATGCATGCCACTCGAGGTACCTTTGCACAGCACTCAAGGCTGCCAGAGACAAACAGTATCTGGCCTATAAGGATTGCCAGTGGGACTTCAGATATCTGTTAGTGCAAACCGAGTCGTGATTGCAGGAGGTGAGGGACAATCCTCAATTTATGCAATGCAGCACTTGCAGGAAGTGATATCAGATTACTTTCTCCCAGCACCTACTGTACCGTAGGGAATCCAACCACACTGCTAGGTATACACAGAGCTGCAAAATAAGCCTCCCCTACAAATACAAACAACCCACACTCAAACACATCACAGTCCCCATAAACACAGCACTATTGACAATTCACATACACGCACACAACCCCACAAGCAGCCTCTCACATTCAATACCACAAACAGCCCACACATACACACACCAAACACACGATGTGACATATCATGCACACACACACTTATGCAAGTAGCCCATCATTCATAGGTATCATACACAATACCACAAACTACTCATGACCAAATACAATATAACAGCCCACATACACAGATATCCAACACTGCAAAGCAACTGCAGCATCCATAATTATCACAAGCAGAATACGGCAACATACAAAGCTCAATTTAAAAAAAGAAAGGACCACATTGCAAAGGGACTTGGCACAGGTCTTGTTTTGGCACAGTATTACTAAAAGGTTGCCTACCCCTGTTCTAGAGGTTTATTTATTTATTTTACAGATAGTGTCCTTTAGATGAGACAGGAAATATACATTTAAACTTGATTTGAAATAAATGTTGATTAACATAAAGTACCCTCATTACCAACTTTATTTATTTATCAGCCTCTGTTTAAATTTAGAATTTAGTTCAAAGTTCTCATCCACACCTAAATGGATCTCAATAACTGTGCTCCTGCATATAGCTCCTCCTTTTTTGGAAATGTGTTCCATCCAGGACTGCTTTTCTCCCCCTGTGACCTGTTACTGTCCTGTTCCCATACCCGCATCTTAGACTCTCATCTGCAGGACTTCTCCAGGACTGCCCCATGCTAATGAATTGGCCTACCATGCCACATTCATCCTCTACATCTCTATAATTCTTCAACAATCCATCAAAACGCACTCTTTTTAAGAGAAGCTCACCAGCACACTCCTTACCTCCTCATCCTGATAACCTTCTTTGCTGTCTCCCCAATCACATATTCTCAGATATATTTAAATAATTTAATTCCTTCACTTCATATTTGTCACTTTTAGGCTGTAAGCTCGTTTGGGCAGAGCCCTCTTCACTTACTGTTCTAGTATGTCAAATAGTTTATCTATTGTACAGTGCTGCAGAATATGTTTGTACTATATAAATAATTGTAATTGTGCCTGTTCAGAGGGTATCTGTGATAAAAGACTGGAAGTATATGGACCCAAATATCTCAAAACAGAACTATATATTCCGAGACATTAAAGACCTGTGTAATGGCTACTATAATTTGAACTGGTCTATTATACGTATAGATTATGTTTAATTATTATACATAGAATTTATGTTAAATCACCTAGCTTTTTTCCCTTAACTGTTGGAAACAATTTTTGAACATATTACGATTTTTAATGAACATATAACTACATAAGAATGTCATGAAAAGGAAAAAATGATTTACTCATTTATCAGTCAACAATAACATTTACAGTTGGAAATTTTCCTGTTGAATTCTGAGTAATGTTTTCCACTTATTCTGTCCGTCTGTTACAATTGTCACTGATAACACTGCATTAATGTTTGAATAATCGCCATCTTTTTTCCATACTGAGTAGAATTGCCAATATTTCAGATGACTTTAATAATTATTTAAATCCCCCCATTTTATGGCAACAATCTGTTACAGTATGCATAACATTATTCATATTAATTACTGTTATTGAATATTCACTTGTTGCCTATTTCAAGACATATGGTCACTCTGAAAAATTGTTAATGGCACATTATCTCTGCAGGCTTGTTAGAAAACTAGCCTAGATACACTGTATACAAAGGGTTTCCAACCTTTGGCCTCCAAGTATTGCTGGTTTCACATTACCATCATTCTGATTGGCAGCTGATCCAGGAAGGGGAGTTGAGGAACGATTTCCCTGCTGTAAATAATTCTATGTTTTAATATATTGCCTAGTAAATAATTGTACATTTAGATATAATACTATTTAAAACAATTAATACAGCTTGCTTTAAATTTTGGTACTCAGTCTGAACATTTCTAGTTATAATTACAATAACAATTTAAAAGATTTGGACACGTGAAAAACCTTGGCATCATTTTGTACATTTTGTGATACTTTTACAAATATATGTGTGTGTGTATATATTTCATTATGTGCATGCTATATAAATAATTAATATAGATCACTTTACATTTTGTAATTAAATCGGAACATTTCTAGTTCTAAATACAATTTGAAAGATTTGGACATGTTAAAAACCTTGGCATTATTTTGTACATTTTGTGATGCTTTTACAAATATATCTGTGGGTGTATATATTTCATTATGTCTATGTGTATGTTTATGTAAACATTTTTTAAAGGTTTTATAGCAATTTTAAAAGCATTACATGTTGTAACATGCATAAAACATTGATATGTCAACTTTAGCACCGCGGCAAAGAGGTCGCGGTACACATGATCTTAACGAAGCTGAGACCATAGTCACCAAGAAAACAATTGGTAACACACTATGCCTAGAAGGAATTAAATCCTGTTGTGCCCGCAAGGTCCCCCTGCTCAAGAAAGCACATGCACAGGTCCATCTGAAGTTTGCCAACGAACATCTGAATGATTCAGAGGAGAACTGGGTGAAAGTGTTGTGGTTAGATGAGACCATAATCAAACTCTTTGGCATCAACTCAACTTGCCGTGTTTGGAGGAGGAGGAATGCTGCCTACGACCCTAAGAACACCATCCCCACCGTCAAACAAGGATGGAAACATTATGCTGTGGGGGTGTTTTTCTAAGGGGACAGGACAACTGCACCGCATCAAAGGGACGATGGACGGGTCAATGAATCAGCCAGGGCATTGAAAATAGGTCGTGGATTGGTATTCCAGCATGACAATGACCCAAAACACACAGCCAAGTGTGATAATATTTCATATTAATTAAGTATGATTGATTGATCACTATTGAGCAACTCAAACATTTATAGATAGTTAAGATGGCACTGGTAAGCATTAAAGCACACATAGCACATATTACTAGATGCAATATGATCAAAGTTGGAAGCGCACTCTACCCCTCACTATGGATTCCAGGGTGCTTCTTGGAAAGTCCCAGTACCCAAATAGGACCAATAATAGACAATTGTAGAAATAATCCAGGCACTCCAATAGATTCCAAATTTCAAGGACATTTATTCGAACCAGGAACTACAAAGCAACGTTTCAGCCCTAACAGGGCTTTTTTCAAGCTAATGTAGCACATAAGAGAACCCAATATATAGGTGCATACAGCATTCACACAAGTGAAAAAACATGTGGTGTATTATCAAACACACATTATTAACAATTAATAATAATAGCTCATTAGATAAACAATTCATTACCTCTCCAATAGTAATCCTAGTATCAAGGGGTGTCACAAGGATCAATAAACATCAACCAATCATATCTATTAATTGCCAATAAAGCTTAAATTTAATTCATCATATATCAACTGTGTTAAATTATATTTATTACCTTCCAATACAGAGTCAAAGGGATTCTGGAGGTTTGTATTTCCGGATAGAGTCACATGATATTGATCACATGACATGAACTGGCCAATTGCTATGTATTGGTCACGTGATCGTGATTCATAGCAAGCCTATAGGCCAATTATCCCACTGAGAATGGCCACATGATGACAGCCAGCCAATGACTTTATAATAGTTACGTGATCGTGACACATAATACCCGAGTTTAATTGTATATATGCGCGGACTTACCGTCCAACGCTAAGTGTCAAAATGGACAGATTACCGCAATGCGCCTCACCACCAAACAAGAGCGCTGGCACTCGGTGCATGCGTGCAGTTCCAACACTACGCGCATGCGTATCGGGTCGTTCTCTGCACATGCGCAATAGAATGGGCTCGCAAAAACACTTAAAAGGACTCTAAATACAAAGTATCGAGATATAATAAACACTGATATGTGGTTGGTGTAAACCATGATCCTGGGGACAGTCCTACATAACATGAGATTATAAATCACATAGATTGTTACAAAGTCATATCTTAAACATATAAAGTAAAAACGTCCTTAGAACAAGTCAATGTCATATAAAGTGACAGTCACAATATTGTATACCCAACTATATAATTGTTACTTGTGAATCCACTAAATAGATACAAAATAATAACATAATAAAATAATAAATAAATACAAGAATCGTGAAATAGAAACAACTATGATAATGAAATACACAAAATTAAATAAAATATTAAATACAAATATATATATACTATCTAAAAAAGAAAAAAAAGAAAAAATGTAAATGAAACATATATTAATATATAATGAAGAGATACACCTCTATATAATATCCTTGAGGTCATAATGATATAGTGTGGTTATGATACACCAAATATAATTTCTGCAAAATGTAAGATTAAGTGATTTCTAAAGGGCCAACATATTGAGACTATCACACTTGACATTTAACTAACAATTTTATCAAAAGGATACAATATTCAAATTCAAACTATAACAATAGTAGAACTTGAATAAAAATATACTCAATATTACTTATAATAATAATCGTATAGAAACGACAACGTAACACCTTTACTTAAAGATTCAACACAATATCACTTCTTCTAAATTTATTTGTGGAAAACGATGGAGAGGTCAAATATGTGCATATTTGACCTCTCCATCGTTTTCCACAAATACATTTAGAAGAAGTGATACTGTGTTGAATCTTTAAGTAAAGGTGTTACGTTGTCGTTTCTATACGTGCAAATATGTGCATATTTGAATATTTAAATTGCCTTGAAATTTGGAATCTATTCGAGTGCCTGGATTATTTCTACATATTACTAGATGCAGGCTTGAAGGCCACAATTGCTAGATGCAGGCTTGAAGGCTTAATGCCACAGCTATTAAGAGCTGACACAGTACTACAACTGTTTACTAAGCTGACACAGCACTATAAGCTGACACAGCACTTCAGCAGTTTGAGAAACTTCTGTTGCCATCCAAAAACTTCTGTTGCCATCTCTAGAACAGTACAAAGAAAGCTTGTAGATAAGATATAATTAACCGCACAAGACTTGGCATAAGTTCTGTTGGTCCTGAACAGTCTGGCCAACTGCCAGGTCCATCCAGCTGCTTGTATCAAGGTCTTTTGCTGGGCTGCACTGATAAGGAACTACTGACTGTCCTTGAAGACAGGTATATAAGACTAAGGAAATCTTGCGCTCCCTTGGAGAACTACCCACCTGTAATGCGGATGCGTGTTACTGGTTTCTTCTGTTCTCAGAAGAGAGGGTCTCTCCGAGTGACTGCCTGAGTTCCCCCCAGTCATGTATGGCAAGGAGAAAACCAAGCTTCTCTAATGGTGATGTATACTTAAGCTGATATATCTAGATACTAAGCTGTTTGAAGTAAATGCATGCAACTACTTAAATGAGAGTAAAACTTACTTTGCTTAGATCCCTTTGTGGATAATAAAGTGTAGTGGGAATTCTTATATTCAACTTGGACTCTGTGTGATTTCTCTTTCCTATAACTAGTATGCCATTATGGGGGTAATTCTCATTCCTGGGCTACCACACCGTCTCAAAGGTAACATTACTAATCTGGCAAATTTCAATTTGAAAATGGAACGTTCTATATTTGACCCTGTAACTTTCCAAAACACCATAAAATCTGTTAATGGGGGGTACTGTTGTACTCGTGAGACATCGCTGATTACAAATATGTGAAATTTGTTGCAGTAAAACCTAACAGTATTATGACATTCACAGCTAAAATGTCAGACGGAAATACAAATAAAAAAAAAAATCTTATTTTCTCAATTGTTTTTAAATTTTATTCACAATAAATTATGTTCCATGTATGAATAGTTAATGATAACTTAAAGCCCTGTTTCTCCTGAACAAAATGATATATAATAAGTGTGGGTGCACTTAATGTGACAGCGGTGAATTACGGTTCAACAGACATATAGCGCAAATTCCAGTTTTTGTTTACGTTTTGTTTTGATCAGAACGTGCACCATTGACTCCGTCCTGAAGGGGTTAAATAATAATAAGCATTCTTTTACTTAGTCCAAATAAAAAAAAATACCAAAATGAACATACAACCAAATTTTTATCCAAACACGAGTGAACAAATAGATGAAATTCTGTTTGGATGAAACTGAATTATTTTTTGTCTGAATGTGTTCTAATGAAATTAACATTTTGTAGGCACCCAAGGCTACTAGAGATTACCTCCATCGTTTCATCCTTTACCCATCCTAGCTGTAAATACCTTCATATAACTGTGTCTTATATGTATCCCTATTTCTTGTGCCCACTGCAAAAACTAAGACTCTGAAAAGATTATTTTTAAAGCATAAAATGAAGGCTATGATATTCTTACTGGTCAAGTAGGAGAGAGTGGAAAATATAAATTTAAGAAAAAAAACATATTTCTAACCCACTGGGGACAGAGGACCCTTTTTAGAGATTTTTAATAATGTGGTATGTCATGATCTACAACAGCTGGAGTTACAAAAAAAATGTACTAAAAATAAATATATAACATGAGTGAAGAAGAAGTCGCCAGTATTTTAAAATGACAAAAAACAGATAATATAGTTATAAAAGAGGCCGCTAAAGAGGGGAGTGGGGGGGGGGAGGGGGGGAAGGTCATCGTGTCCAAGGGAAATTATTTTTAAAAATCACATTGCATTTTAGGAGTTTCAAGTACTTACCTAGTATTAAATAAAGATCCTACATTGGAGTTTAATCCACTCTTAAAATCTCTATTAGATTCACCATACAAAGAAAAACTCTTGAAGAAAAATAGCATTTCTTCATAATTAACATCCAATTTTCCCAATTTTTTTTTTTTTTTTACCTAAGTTGCATAAGAATCCAATAGAACCACTAGGACAGCCAGTCATTAGTGGTATAAATTCGATAACAGCACACTTATCTGAATTCATTGATCATAAATTTCAAAAATATGCACAAGAAGCACCTTCTTTTTTAAAGAATCACATACTAAAAATAATGTAGTGATGAAATTGGAGATAGATTTTTATATTGGTTACAAAAGGTAAAACCTCTATGTACACAGTAATTAAACATGATATTGGCACTTTAGCAGTGGAAAAAGTTATAAAAGAAGATAAAAGTGTTTTACTCACTTTCACGTAATTAGATAGTATTCTTTTTATATAAGAACATAAGTATTTTTTGTCTGATGGCACTTTTTACTTGCAAAGAACTGGCACAGCAATGGGAACTAGGTTTGCCCCCAGCTATGCCAAAATCTACATGAGAGATTGGGAATCCAACTTTGTGTGGAGATGGCATGGCTGGGCTATGAATCTGGTCTTCTGTAAATGTTTTATAGATGGTGTTATAGTGATTTGGCGAGGTTCACAGGAAGAACTCAATCATTTCCTAGATTATATACATTTAAAAAACTATGGTTTAAAGTTCATATGCAATTTTATAGAAATTCCGGTATGTTTTTAGATATGACTTTTTACATAGACAGCCATGGCATTCATGCTAGATGCCGTTTAAAAAAAAAGAAAAAGACAGTTATATCATGGGCTATCTAAGAAAGGCACTTTGTATAAAATTGCTAGAACTCAACTCATGGGCAGGGCCCTCTTTTCCTTTAGTATTGGTCTGTGTATATTGTACTATATTTCCCCCAATTTTTCAGCTCAGCGTTATATACTGGCCCTTTATAAATGTCAGTAATAATAATAACAGTAATAATGAATCAACAGGAACTTAAGATCGAAGAGGGAGTCTGCAAGGAACAATTTCAGGTAAAAATCAATTACCCATGCTGCACCTCCATGCCACTGTCCTGAGTGGCAATGTCACCATCAGAGGTTTTTGCAAAATATGCAAAGACCCTGATTGAAGATGACAGTACTGCTTAAAGATGTAACTAATTGGTAGGCTCCGTCTGCTGGTTACAGAGAGAAGGTACTCTTGTCATGGGAAAAGAGAGTACTTGTTCTCTTTTACAATAGCATCACTATCTAAAAATTATCACAGGGGCGGACTGAGTACTCGGGAAGATCAGTCATGGACTGAGGGCCCGAGGCTCTTGGGGCTCTTGGGGGACTGCTGTGAGTCGTGCGGAGCTGTCTGATCTGTGTTACATACAGCAAGCAGTGTCTGCAACA